GGACCCGCTTCAGAGCTTGAACAGGGTCGTAGCCATCGCGCTCATGAGTCTAGCAATTGCGTGAAGACCAAATGTTGTGCATAATCATAATTATCTTGCATCTTTCCTCATCTGTGAACATGTGGTCAAGCAAGATATCACGTGCCCAAGTATCCCGATGCAGCCATGGGAGATGTAGCTGGAATCTGTCCTGAGATGCAGTCCAGAACTTATTTGCATGTGAGCAATGTACCATCGCATGTAGCATGTCTTCCTACATCGCCTTGCAGATGTCACACAAGCCAAGATGCTTGATGTATCGATGTCGCAAGGTTACAAAATCAGGGAGTATCCCTCGGAGTATTCTCCACCAAAAAACTCGGACCTTGGGGACAACTTTAAGTCTCCGCAAGGCAGTCCACAACTGCGTATTAGCTGATGATGTTTTCGTAGTCGCCCCTTCCTCTAAAGAGCAAAGCTCGTTGTGAGTCACAAGAGAATGATACGCTGATTTTACAGAGTAGATGCCCGAGTTCTCCAAAGCCCAAGCCAAAGTATCTTCACCGCCCGAAGGGTTCAGAGGTATATTTAAAATTACCACCACAATCGGATGCAAGAAATTCTGATGGACAATCTATTCATTCCAATTCCCAGTATAATCATCAATGAGTTCAGAAACTCTAGTGAGTGGAGCTGTGCTGAGGCGGACCCTAGGTTTCAAGGTGTGCTTGGAATCCAATTGTCTGTCAATGTTGATATGGTCGTTTCGTCGCCAACTCGGCGAATAAGACCAACAATGAGAGCGTCTCGCCCTGCTATGATGGCCTTCCAAGTCGCCAATGCTCGAGACGGGGTTGTGGCATTCAGAAAATCCATATGAGGGAAGTACTTGCCCTTCAGCACCGAGTCCGGTTTTGTGAGAAGGCACCATCCATGTTTTTCAAGCATCGCAAGTTAAAAAACTGCAAATTTTGGAAACCCATGCCGCCCTTCACCTTTGGTGTCGCAAGTTTGTTCCATGATAGCCAATGGAGAGAACGCTTGTCAATTGAGCTCCCCCACCAATATTTTGCCATGCGTGAAGTAACACTCTTGCACACCTTTTTTGTTAGAAGGAAACAACTCATGCTGAAAGTTGGAATAGACTGGATAATTGTCTTGAGAACCTCTCTCGCAGCGCAAGCCATGTTCCGCTCTGACCAGCCTCGCATTTTATCACGACATCTATCCATCATATGAACAAATGTCCCACTCGTGATTCTACCAATAGCAGTTGGGAGTCCCAGGTAGCGTTCTGAAAATGCTTCTACATGAATCCCGAGAGACTGTTTAATAGTCTGTCGTAGGGGTTGTCTCATATTGCCACTGAAGTAGATGGAGCTTTTCTCCCAATTTACCGCCTGTCTAGAACATTCAGCATATATCCGAATAATCTCATTAAGCCTCTCTATACTTTGGGTTTTTGCACTAAGAAATATTAAGCTGTCGTCAACAAATAGAAGACGATTAACCCAAGGTGCATGCGGACTCACCATGATGCCTCTATCAATGTATGCACCGCCAAAATTATTCAGAAGTGAAGTAAAGCCCTGGGCACAAAACAAAAAACAAGTATGGCGACATGGGACATCCTTGATGGAGCCCCCTCGAAGGAGTGAAGTAGGGGAGAAGCTCTCCATTTTCCATGATTGTGAACCTCACCGAGGTCACACACTTCATGATTAAGTGAACAAAGTTATCACCGAAACCCAACTTAAGTAGCATCGCTTCGAGATAGTGCCATTCCATTCTGTCATAGGCCTTGAGCATATCAAGCTTCACCGCGCAACATGCATTCTTGCCTTTCTTGCGTCTTTTGATCGCATGAATGCTTTTGTACTCCACAAGTACATTTATCCATGATTAATCGTCCCGGAACAAATGCACTTTGATCTTCTCCAATCACCTCATCCAAAATCCCTCAGACTCTATTGGCAATTGCTTTGACTGCAATCTTGTATAGAACAGGGCATAAGGCAATTGGTCGGAATTGAGATATTTTTGTGGATGTCGTACCTTTGGGATCAAAGTTATGGATGTGTCATTCAGTCCCAATGGTAATTCCCCTCCGTTCAAAAACTCCAGGACGGCCACTGTGATGTTCTCTCCAAGAACTTCCCAATGTCGTTGATAAAAACCTGTGTGAACCCGTCGACCCCCGGGGTCTTTGACGGTGCCATGTCAAATAGAGCCTTCTTTACTTCTTCCGCAACATATGGTTTGTTGACATGGTCGTTCATTTGATTAGTGACACTCAGTTGCACACAGTTTAGTAATTTTTGCATCAAGTTGAAGCCTAGTGTATGATACAAGGCGTGATAGAAGTCACTGATTTCCTTCTTCACCTCCTCCGGGTCTTGCAAAATCCGACCATGTATGTTCTCCAGATAAGTGATTCGGTTGATTCCTTTACGATGATGAGCGGCTTGAGCTTGAAAATAACCAGTATTGTGATCTCCCTCCCGTAACCAAAGCACTCGCGATCTTTGCGTAAGCCAGATTTCTTCCTGTCTCATGGCTTCTCGCAGTTGCGCTGCAAGAACGAGCTCTTCCTCCGTAGGCCCTCGACCCATTGAGACGCTCCTTAGATGTTCTAGGCGCTTCCGTAGCTTGCGTACTTTCTTTGATAAGTTTCTGAATTCTCGCTCACCCCAGGCACCAGATCCTGTTGGACGACTGCCAGCGCATGCACGACGCCCTGCAAGCCTCCTCGACCAACCCCCGCATGCCACAAATCGCGTACAATCTAGTCATACTGACCATGGGACTGCCAAACGTTTCATATATGAAACTCCGTTGGGCTTGAGGCTAGTGATTAGCCATGCTAGTTCTGAACTCAACTGCAACATAACAATGATCTGATTCCACGCTGCTGATATGCTTGATAGCAATGTATTGGAACATATTCAAAAATCGGCCGTTAGCAAGGGCCCGATCAAGGCGAGCCTTTATGTTTGTCGATCCGGCCTGCCGATTATCCCATGTATAGGGTATACCTCTCCATCCCAAATCCTGTAGGGAACAGTCATCAACCGCATCCCGGAATGCTCTCATGTGGGGCTCCGGCCTAGCATTGACACTGAAGTGCTCGTCTGCCTACATTGTCTTGTTAAAATCTCCCATGCAGATCCATGCGCCATGCGGGACAACAAATAAAGTGCTAAGAAAATGCCAGTTGTGGTGTCTATTTTCCACCCATGGCTCTCCGCAGAAACCAGTGAAACGCCAAGTTTTATTGTCTTTCTCAACCGATACATCAATGTGTGACCGATTGTAATTTTCCAACTTGACTTCAACATCTTTTGACCAAAACAGGCCAATACCACCACTAAGCCCATCACTATCGATGGCAAAACAACCAGAAAAGCCTAAAGAAAATTTCAATTCTTCCACCCTTTTGCCCTTGATTTTGGTCTCCATTACGAACAGAAGGGCGGGACCTTCTTGCTTCACAACCTTGCGAAGCTCTCGAACTTTCTAGGGGTTCCCAAGCCCCCGACAGTTCCAACTGATAGTACTCATTGCGACGGGCAACGCTGACTAGCAGCCGCTGCCGAGGATTCAGACATTGGTGGTGTCGGTTTCTTCTTCTTTGGTTCTCTCTCAACAAATATATCACCCAAGTTTTAAGTCTCTCTCTCTCTGGAGCCGAACCCAGCACACCATATGTGCTCACAGGCCCTTCTCCTTTCTCTGTAATGGCCAGAGGAGTGGGCGCCACTTTTCGGTAGACTTGGATCAGTGGCCCTCCTTTCCTCTTGTTCTGGACTTGATTCTTGGCTGGGAACGTCACCTCGACCCCCTCCTTCTGCTTGGAGCTTGACGAACGTGATTCACGTGTGCTGCGCTGCGTATATTGCTTTTCCTTTGTCGAGTTCTCACCAGAAAAACCTTTCTTCCGTTCCTCAGCAGCCCGAAGGCTAGCCTTGAAGGGAAGATCACCATTAGCATCCCGTGTCCCTGGAGTGGGACAGAAGAGACCGAAGTGGCCCAATCTTCCACAAGAGAAGCAAAAGCGGGGGATCTGTTCATACTCGATGTCATAGCAGTCCACCTTGTCTCTCTTGGTTGATTCAATGACAATCCATCTACAGAGGGGTTTGAGCACATCAATAGCGACTCTCGCTCTCAAGAAGCCCCCCACCGGATCAATTTGGACGATGGATGTGTGCTCGTCAATTTGTCGGGCTATCGCCAAGCCCCGTGTGTCGTTCCTCAAGTTATATGGTAGATTAACTACCCTTACCCAGACTGGCAGCCGGCCAAACTTGAGCTCAAAAGGCTGGATGTGTTCTTCAAAATACTCCAAGATCACCGCGTTTTTGCTGATGTGCCAGGGTGCTCCTTCCCAAACACGGTCTCGATCTCGCTTGGATTCAAACTCAGCATCAAACATATTCTCTCCTAGTGGGCGGAAAGTCGGGCCCCTAGGGTTTCCCCAAGCAGGGTGAAGGGCATTGCAGATCGTCTGGATGTGAAGAAGATTGCGTTGCAAAACCTTCCCTGCTAGCAGCCACTTTGTCAGAGCATCGTCGTTGGCGTCGTCGATCACCAGGGGTGTCGCCTCCTCCTTGGAGATGTCCAGCTTGCCGAGCGTTTCCTCCATCTGCGCTCGCACGGAGCGAGGGGAGAGAGCGCCGCTGCGCTTCCAAAGCTGTTCCCAACACACCATCAAGGCATCAACACAAGTTCGACTCTGGTCACATACTCTGATTCTTCTTGGTGCATCGCCGGTCATCGTGAGGAACCCCATGCCTCCCTTCTCATTGCCACGTAGCAGAAATTGCAGACCCGGGTGTACCTGACAGTCTGGACCCACAGGTCAGCGCGCTCGCTGACCACCGAGCCCATCGGCCCGTCCACACCCACGTCATCCTTCCTCTCTCTATATCAATCCTGCGAGCCTTCTTCCTCTCAGTTCAAGCCACGGCCGCAGCAACAGCAAGCAAACGCAGCCTAGCTAGCTCTCACATCACACACGCATGATGCTCACGGCCATGCAGCACATGGACTCCTCCGCCTACGCATCCTCGCCCTCGGCGTCACCGTGGCAGCAGCTCCTCACGGCCCAACGCGGCCACCTGTTGCCCTTCGACTACGAGGATCTCGCGTCCGTCCCCGCCGCGGCGCACGCGCCGGCGGCGCACCAGCAGCACAGACCCGCGCGCCGCGTCGCCAGGCGGCGGCCGCGCCCGTCGCGGCGGCTGCCCACGACCTACATCAGCGCCGACCCCGCGGAGTTCCGCCGCATGGTGCACCAGGTCACGGGCGCCGACGAACTCCTCCTCCCGCCGGCCCAGCAGCAGACGGAGGGGCCCCTTCTCCCCGCGCTCGCCGCCCGCGCAGCGCCTTCGTCGGCCGGCGGGGCGCTGCTGCTGCCGACGCTGGACACGTCGGCGTTCCTGCTCGGCGGGTGCAGGGCGAGGCCGTCCACCGCGCGGACGGATGCGATCCTGATGCCACCGCCGACGTCTCGCGACGGGTCCCTCCCGCTGGACAGCACTAGCGGCAGCAGCAGCAACTGTGGTTTCCCGACCTTAGAGTCGTGGGATCTTCTCTGAACCCACCCGCTCTGCCCTCTCTGCGCACATATGCATGGTGCTTCTGCCTTCTGGTTGTGACTAGAGCTTGATTGTTGGCAACCATATATGTGTTCGTCTTGTTGTTAATCTGAGCTTAATTATTCCGTTTATGTTGTGATTGACTCATGCTGTGTCTCTCTGGACGGGTTTCAGTTTCATCATAGATATTCTCTTTGCTCTAGGAGCAGAATTCAGAATCGAGGACATGGATTGTTTCTTCTCTTTTCCTACTCTCAAACCCGTCTTGTCTTCACCAACCATATTCTCTTCCGGTCGGGTCAAGATCAACCGTCTTTTGTTGGGTGCTCAGTGCATTCAGCGCAATTAACCAGCTGAGTGATTAGTGCGCCAAAGCAGCCATTAATTATAAAGCAGGGGGAGCATGTAATGCTACTTAGACCCTACGACACGTCGAGATGAAGCCAAATACGACTGAGACGTAGTACGTCACGTGCATCAGCCCTTCGCTTCAATAATCTACCATAACCTGTGAAATCGGCTAGCACTTAGGCCAACTCCACCGCGCCAGCCAGCCATCCTGTCCCGGTGCGTCTGTTTTGGCTCAAAACGGACATACCAAACGGTCCAGCGTGTGGGCGTAAATGGACTTTTATCCGTTTTCTGACCGCTTTCGACCCATCACCGGCCTAAGTTTGGGCCGCTTTTAAGGTGAAAACGCGCAGACGGGCGAGACACGTGCGCTTATCCTTCCCTGGCCCGCCCGTCAGTGGCACAAAGCACCCGCCCGGCGCCTCATTTCGTGCCATTTCCCCCCAAACCCTCTCCCACGTCCCGCCCACCACCTTCCCACCATGGCCGATGCCCCGCCGAATTCCAGCGGCTAGGCCGCTGACCCGCCCGGAAAGGTGAAGAAGGCGGCGGCCAAGGGTCCGAAGAAGCCTAGGTCGGAAGCCACGCCGGCAGAGCTCGCAAAGATGGACGCGGAATTGGCCAAGAAGAAGAACCGGAGGGCGGTCGTCAAGGGCAAGAACGCCGCAGCCAAGTTCGCCGTCGAGCGCGCTGCGTTGGAGGTCGCGCGGCGCAAGGTCGACGTCGACGAGAAGGAGGACATCATCAACAAAACGCATGGCCCTCCTCATGCTTGCGATTCGCCGTCCAGCGAGTTTCTCGCCAGCGCACGTCGGCCCAGCGAGCACAGGCTCGTGGTCGCCCGACCTCCGCAGTGCCCCTCGCCGACGTCGCGGACCACGTCTTTGTCGCCCTGTTTTCCTCCGGCAAGGTGCGAAGGCCAGACCCGTTTCTCGGGGTCGCCGAACGTTGGCGTGATCGCGCCGTCCAGCCCGCGCCCCTCGGCCGTCATCGACCTCAACGTCACGCCGGGGTCCAGCAGCGGCGGCCGGCCGTCCGTTGAGATGCAAAGAAAGCAAGCACGGCCGACGTCTATGGCCACCATGCCGCCGCCCCGCGTCCCGTTCGACGAAATGCCAACACCAACACCAACGGTCGACGACCCCTACTACAACCAGTTCATGGAGGATGTCATCTACGAGGGCCATGGCGAGGCCTTCCAGATGGGTGGGCATGGCGATGCCTACGATCCCGAGGAGACCCAGAGTCAGGATGGTCGCGGCCAGTACGTTGCCGATGAAGACATTGAGGCCCATGACCATGTTGAGTACGACCATGGTGACTTGTGGCATGAAGATGATGACATCTATTGCGAAGGTGATGGTGATGAAGAAGAAGGAAGCACAAAGAGTGGAAGCATAAAGAAGGAAGAAGAGCATTCGTACGGGATCATACTCACAAGAGGAGGACAAGTTGATTTGCCAAAGTTGGATGGAGATTGGCCAAGATCCGAGGACCAGTGCGCAACAAAACGGGCTTGTTTTTTGGACAAGAGTTCACAAAACATTCCATGAAAGAAAGTTGTTTTCGCCCTACCAATTTACGAGCGACCGTGGCATCACCTCAATTCAAAAGAGGTGATTGTTCATCCAACAAGAATGCAACAAGCATGTCCCGTGAGTGGTCTCGGCATTGGGGACATGGTATGGTCTCTTATCTTTTCGTTGCTACGGCCATGACTTTCGGCCTTCTATATGTTTGCATGTTCAATTCTTGTTGATCATGTAGGCATTTCAATCTTTGAAAGCATTCAAGGCCTGGCACAATGACAAGTCATTCACTCTTACGCATTGTTGGACGCTCATCAACAATTACCCTTAGTTCAAAGATCAATACCGTGAACTTCAAAGGAAGAGAGGCAAGAAGACTGCCGTGTGTTGGAAATATGCCCTAGAGGCAATAATAAAAGCATTATTATTATATTTCCTTGTTCATGATAATTGTCTTTATTCATGCTATAATTGTGTTATCCAGAAATCATAATACATGTGTGAATAACAGACACCAACATGTCCCTAGTGAGCCTCTAGTTGACTAGCTCGTTGATCAACAGATAGTCATGGTTTCCTGACTATGGACACTGGATGTCATTGATAACGAGATCACATCATTGGGAGAATGATGTGATGGACAAGACCCAATCCTAAACATAGCACAAGATCGTATAGTTCGTTTGCTAGAGTTTTCCAATGTCAAAGTATCTTTTCCTTAGACCATGAGATCGTGTAACTCCCGGATACCGTAGGAGTGCTTTGGGTATGCCAAACGTCACAACGTAACTGGGTGACTATAAAGGTAGACTACGGGTATCTCCGAAAGTGTCTGTTGGGTGACATGGATCAAGACTGGGATTTGTCACTCCGTATGACGGAGAGGTATCACTGGGCCCACTCGGTAATGCATCATCATAATGAGCTCAAAGTGACCAAGTGTCTGGTCACGGGATCATGCATTACGGTACGAGTAAAGTGACTTGCCGGTAACGAGATTGAACGAGGTATTGGGATACCGACGATCGAATCTCGGGCGAGTAACATATCGATAGACAAAGGGAATAGCGTACGGGATTGATTGAATCCTCGACATCGTGGTTCATCCGATGAGATCATCGTGGAGCATGTGGGAGCCAACATGGGTATCCAGATCCCGCTGTTGGTTATTGACCGGAGAGTCGTCTCGGTCATGTCTGCTTGTCTCCCGAACCCGTAGGGTCTACACACTTAAGGTTCGGTGACGCTAGGGTTATGAAGATATGTATATGCAGAAACCCGAATGTTGTTCGGAGTCCCGGATGAGATCCCGGACGTCACGAGGAGTTCCGAAATGGTCCGGAGGTAAAGAATTATATATATGAAGTGCTGTTTCGGGCATCGGGACAAGTTTTGGGGTTATCGGTATTGTACCGGGACCACCGGAAGGGTCCCGGGGGTCCACCGGGTGGGGCCACCTGTCCCGGGGGGCCACATGGGCTGTAGGGGGTGAGCCTTGGCCTAGATGGGCCAAGGGCACCAGCCCCTATAGGCCCATGCGCCTAGGGTTTCCATCATGGAAGAGTCCATGTGGTGGAAGGCACCCCTAGGTGCCTTGGGGGGGAGGGAAACCTCCCCTTGGCCGCCGCCCCCCTAGTAGATCTCATCTACTAGGGCCGGCGCCCCCCCCCATGGCACCCCTATATATAGTGGGGGGAGAGGAGGGATTTCACACCAGCCCCTGGCGCCTCCATCTCCCCCCGTTACGTCTCTCCCTCGTAGTCTCGGCGAAGCCCTGCTGCTGTGACGCCCTGCATCCACCACCACGCCGTCGTGCTGCTGGATCTTCATCAACCTCTCCTCCCCCCTTGCTGGATCAAGAAGGAGGAGACGTCTCCCGTCCCGTACGTGTGTTGAACGCGGAGGTGCCGTCCGTTCGGCGCTGGTCATCGGTGATTTGGATCACGTCGAGTACGACTACATCATCACCGTTCTTTTGAACGCTTCCGTGCGCGATCTACAAAGGTATGTAGATGCATCTAATCACTCGTTGCTAGATGAACTCTTAGATGATCTTGGTGAAACGAGTAGGAAAATTTTTGTTTTCTGCAACGTTCCCCAACAGTGGCATCATGAGCTAGGTCTATGCGTAGTTCTTCTTGCGCGAGTAGAACACAATTTGTTGTGGGCGTAGATTTGTCAACTTTCTTGCCGTTACTAGTCCTTTCTTGCTTCAGCGGTATTGTGGGATGAAGCGGCCCGGACCAACCTTACACGTACGCTTACGTGAGACCGGTTCCACCGACTAACATGCACTAGTTGCATAAGGTGGCTGGCGGGTGTCTGTCTCTCTCACTTTAGTTGGAGCGGAATCGATGAACAGGGTCCTTATGAAGGGTAAATAGAAGTTGACAAATCACGTTGTGGCTATAACGTAGGTAAGAAAATGTTCTTGCTAGAACCCTAATTCAGCCACGTAAAACTTGCAACAACAATTAGAGGACGTCTAACTTGTTTTTGCAGCAAGTGGTTTGTGATATGATATGGCCAAAGTTGTGATGAATGATGAATGATCTATATGTGATGTATGAGATGTTCATGCTATTGTAATAGGATTCACGACTTGCATGTCGATGAGTATGACAACCGGCAGGAGCCATAGGAGTTGTCTTTATTCTTTTTATGACCTGCGTGTCATCGAGAAACGCCATATAAATTACTTTACTTTATTGCTAAACGCGTTAGCCATAGTAGTAGAAGTAATAGTTGGCGAGCAACTTCATGGAGACACGATGATGGAGATCATGATGATGGAGATCATGGTGTCAAGCCGGTGACAAGATGATCATGGAGCCCCAAGATGGAGATCAAAGGAGCTATGTGATATTGGCCATATCATGTCACGTTTATTATTTGATTGCATGTGATGTTTATCATGTTTTGCATCTTGTTTACTTAGAACGACGGTAGTAAATAAGATGATCCCTCACAATAAATTCAAGAAGTGTTCCCCCTAACTGTGCACCGTTGCGACAGTTCGCTGTTTCAAAACACCACGTGATGATCGGGTGTTTTATTCAGACGTTCACATACAACGGGTGTAAGACAGATTTACACATGCAAACACTTAGGTTAACTTGA